ATAAACGTGCTTGAGGTCAATGTTTATGAGGAAAGGCTACATCATGAGGGGGTGACACTAACACACTTGAAAACCTCATACTACCTCATACTACCACATACTACCAAGACCTCAGCCCCCACGAGTCCTACCAAGACCTCAGCCCCCACGAGTCCCACCAAGACCTCAGCCCCCACGAGTCCTACCAAGACCTCAGCCCCCACGAGTCCCACCAAGACCTCAGCCCCACGAGTCCCACCAAGACCTCAGCCCCCACGAGTCCCACCAAGACCTCAGCCCCCACGAGTCCCACCAAGACCTCAGCCCCCACGAGTCCTACCAAGACCTCAGCCCCCACGAGTGCTACCAAGACCTCAGCCCCCACGAGTCCCACCAAGACCTCAGCCCCCACGAGTCCCACCAAGACCTCAGCCCCCACGAGTCCCACCAAGCCAGCGAGGGGCTCCTGTGAGACAGCATTCAGCGCCGGACGTCAGAAGCAGTAGCATATTAATCTAGCGACTTCAAAGTAGAAAAAGATGGAAGTAATTTATCTGGCGTAAGGGTGTGAAGGAGAGATTATAGGACGGACCCGACGCCCACTCCCACAACCTGTCTTTGAGACAGAACTGGTAAATCTGCTCCATTTGTGTTCACTGTAGCGACGACACAGCAGACCCTGCTCCACCACTTGGGGGACGGGCAGGGCACCAGATACACAGACAGACTGACAGTCAGACACATAGACAGACAGACAGACAGACACACACACACACACACACACACACACACAGACACACACACACAGTGAACGCACGAGGCAGAAACAAATGGGCAAAGTTTCTTTCACCCTGAATGCCCCTGTTACCTAGCAGTAAATAGGTACCTGGGAGTTAGTCAGCTGTCACGGGCTGCTTCCTGGGGTGTGTGTGTGTGTGTGTGTGTGGTGTGGAAAAAAAAAAAAAAAAAAAAAAAAAAAAAAAAAAGTAGTTAGTAAACAGTTGATTGACAAGTTGAGAGGCGGGCCGAAAGAGCAAAGCTCAACCCCCGTAAAAACACAACTAGTAAACACACAGACCTGGGAGTGGATGTGACACCTAATCTAACTCCTGAGGCACATATAAATAGGATAACGACAGCAGCGTACTCTACACTGGCGAAAATTAGACCTTCATTCAGAAACCTAAATGAGGAGGCTTTTAGGGCGCTTTACACTGCCTACGTGAGACCCGTCTTAGAGTATGCCGCGACATCATGGAGCCCCCACCTGAAGAAACACATAAGGAAACTGGAGAAGGTCCAGAGGTTTGCGACGAGGCTTGTCCCAGAGTTACGAGGGATGGGATATGAAGAGCGTCTGCAGGAACTGAACCTTACGACACTAGAGAAAAGAAGGAAGAGAGGAGATATGATAGGGACATATAAAATACTCAGAGGAATTTACAAAGTGGAAATAGATGAAATGTTCACACGTAATAATAACAGAACGAGGGGACATGGGTGGAAACTGGAAACTCAGATGAGTCACAGAGATGTTAGGAAGTTTTCTTTTAGCGTGAGAGTAGTGGAAAAATGGAATGCACTTGGGGAACAGGTTGTGGAAGCAAATACTATTCATACTTTTAAAACTAGGTATGATAGGGAAATGGGACAGGAGTCATTGCTGTAAACAACCGATTGCTGGAAAGGCGGGATCCAAGAGTCAATGCTCGATCCTGCAAGCACAAATAGGTGAGTACACACACACAGACTGCATATTTTTGAATTGCCAGAAAGGTTTTGACACAGTGCCACACCAGAGACTAGTGCAAAATCCTGGAGATGCAGGCTGGAGTGAAAGGGAAGGTACTCTATTGGATAAGGGAGTATCTAAGAAACAGAAGACAGCGAGTCACTGTGAGGGGTGAGGTCTCAGGTTGGCGAGACGTTACAAGTAGAGTCCCGCAGGGGTCAGTCCTTGGACCTATACTGTTTCTGATATATGTAAATGATCTCCCAGAGGGTATAGACTCGTTTCTCTCAATGTTTGCCGATGATGCAAAAATTATGAGGAGGATTGAAACTGAGGATGATAGTAGGAGGCTACAAGATGACCTAGACAGACTGAGTGAATGGTCCAACAAATGGCTGTTGAAGTTCAACCCGAGTAAATGCAAAGTAATGAAACTAGACAGTGGAAACAGGAGGCCGGACACAGGATACAGAATAGGAGATGAAATACTTAATGAAACGGACAGAGAGAAAGATCTAGGAGTTGATATCACACCAAACCTGTCTCCTGAAGCCCACATAAAAAGAATAACGTCTGCGGCATATGCGAAGTTGGCTAACATCAGAACAGCGTTCAGGAATCTGTGTAAGGAATCATTCAGAATCTTGTACACCACATATGTAAGACCAATCCTGGAGAATGCGGCCCCAGCATGGAACCCGTACCTTGTCAAGCACAAGACGAAGCTGGAAAAAGTTCAAAGGTATGCCACTAGACTATTCCCAGAACTAAGATGCATGAGTTACGCGGAAAGACTGCGGGAAATGCACTTTACGACCCTGGAAGACAGAAGAGAAAGGGGAGACATGATCACAACCTAGAAAATCCTCAAGGGAATCGACCGGGTAAACAAGGATGAACTATTCAACACTGGTGTGACGCGAACAAGGGGACACAGGTGGAAACTGAGTACCCACATGAGCCACAGAGACGTTAGAAGGAACTTTTTCAGTGTCAGAGTAGTTAACAGATGGAATGCATTAGGCAGTGATGTGGTGGAGGCTGACTCCATACACAGATTCAAATGTAGATATGATAGAGCCCAGTAGGCTCAGGAATCTGTACACCAGTTGATTGACAGTTGAGAGGCGGGACCAAAGAGCCAAAGCTCAACCCCCGCAAGCACAAATAGGTGAGTACAAATAGGTGAGTACACACACTAAAGTACTCGAGAAAGGGAACTGAAAGCAAAATGCTAGCATTCCGTAAGGAAAATTACGAGGAGATAAGAAAATTCCTAACGGATATAACATGGGAATCAGGGCTAAGGGGAAAGACGGCCCAAGACATGATGGAATACATCACGCAGATTGTAAGGAGGCAGCAGAAAAGTTTATCCCGGCCCAAAACGTAAAAAATGAAATGCAGATGAGAATTCATGGTTTAATCAGAGATGTAAACTAGCTAAGAAACTAAGTAAAAGAGCATGCAGAAACTATAGAAATAACAGGACACTTGAGAGCAGAGGAGGACACCAAAGAGCCAGGAATGAATACGTCAGGGTGAGAAGAGAGGCAGAAGGGCAATATGAAAACGACATAGCAAGCAAAGCTAAGACCCAGCCCAAATTACTGCACAGCCACATCAGGAGAAAGACAACAGTGAAGGAACAGGTAATAAAACTGAGGATAGGAGCAGACAGATTTACTACAAACGACAAAGAAGTGTGCGAGGAACTCAATATGAAATTCCAGGAAGTCTTCACATTAGAGCAAGGAGAAGTTCCAGAGAAAAGAGAGGGAATAGTTAACCAGACACCACTGGAGGAATTTGAAATTACCAGTGGAGATGTAAGGAAGCTTTTGCTAGAGTTGGATGTGACAAAGGCTATAGGCCCAGATGGAATATCACCATGGATACTAAAGGAAGGTGCAGAAGCACTGTGCCTGCCACTCTCCATGGTGTATAACAAATCACCGGAAACAGGTGAACTGCCAGAAATTTAGAAGGTGGCAAACGTAGTCCCGATATACTAGTGTGTCCCTAATTTGCATACCATGCAAGCTAATGGAGAAAAATGTGCAAAAAAGGCTAGTCGAACATCTGGAGCGAAGGAACTTTGTGACACAACACCAACATGGTTTCAGGGATGGCAAGTCATGCCTCACAGGATTAATTGAATTCTACGATCAGGCAACAAGAATCAGACAAGAAAGAGAGGGGTGGGCAGACTGCATATTTTTGGATTGCCAGAAAGGCTTTGACACAGTGCCACACCAGAGACTAGTGCAAAACCTGGAGATGCAGGCAGGAGTGAAAGGGAATGTACTCCATTGGATAAGAGAGTACCTAAGCAACAGAAGACAACGAGTCACTGTGAGGGGTGAGGTCTCAGATTGGCGATACTTCACAAGTGGAGTCCTGCAGGGTTCAGTCCTTGGCCCTATACTGTTTCTAATATGTAAATGATCTTCCAGATGGTATAGAATCATTCCTCTCATTGATTGCTGATGATGTAAAAATTATGAGGAGGATTAAGACGGAGGAAGACAGTATGAGACTACAAGATGACCTAGACAGACTGCATGAATGATCCAACAAATGGCTACTAAAGTTCAACCCGAGTAAATGTAAGGTAATGAAACTAGGCAGTGGAAACAGGAGGCCAGGCACAGGATATAGAATGGGAGATGAAGTCCTTCATGAAACGGACAGAGAGAAAAATCTAGGAGTTCATATCACACCAACCCTGTCTCCTGAAGCCCACATAAAAAGAATAATACCTGCGTCTGCGAGGCTGGCTAACATCAGAACAGCTTTCAGGAACCTGTGTAAGGAATCATTCAGAACCTTGTATAGCACATATGTAAGACCAATCCTAGAGTATGTGACCCCAGCACGGAGCCCGTACCTTGTCAAGCACAAGGTGAAGCTTGAAAAAGTTCAGAGATATGCCAATAGACTAGTCCCAGAACTAAGAGGCATGAGTTACGAGGAAAGGCTGCGAAAAATGCACTTCACGATACTAGAAGACAGAAGAGTAAGGGGAGACATGATCACAACCTACAAAATTCTCAGAGGAATTGACATGGTAGATAGTCTACACCCCACACACCCCCCACCACACACACCACACCCCACACACCACACACACACCCCACACCCCCCACCACACACACCACACACCACACCACACACACACACCCCACCCCCCCCACACACACCACACCCCACACACCACACACACACCACACACCCCACACCCCACACACCACACACACACCACACACCCCACACCCCCCACCCCACA